GTCGGCATAGTTTTCGATACGTGTTTGGAGTGGTAAGTGGATTTGCTGGCTAGTAACATCTAATATATAGGTGGGTCTAAGAGCAGTCTTCAAAGACAAGGATGAGTCGGATCCAACCCTATGGTCCATTGAGAAAACATCCTTGAGAAGAGTTGAGCCACAGCTTTGCGGAAGGGCTTAGAGCCATAAGTGCTGTATGTGTTTCGGGGCTTTTTGGCCGAATCACTCTGTATAGATATTCCATGTCATTTGTTGCAAGTTTCTATGTCAAACCGTCAAACCATGTCAAACCTATACGGTATGCTGCGTGTTGGTACGTGTTTCTTGGTGCTCACTTTGTAAGTCCTGAAAGGATTGACATGGATTGACGGTTGAACGATGCCCTGGCCACATGGATATGTTTCGATAGTTCCAGCAGGTCGAGTCTGACGAGGTGGAAAGGGTGGTTTTGAGGCTCAGCATGAACATGTACTGGAGAGAAACGCTCGCTCGGCCGAACTAGCCGCGTTTCAAAGGAGAAAAGAACGAGTCACGGACTCGACGGGGTGCCGAACGAACGGAGGAAGTCGGGCCCATCATCCACCTCAAGGACTATAGTGACTATAGAAACCACCCTGCTTGTGACTTCTGGGTTCCCCAATTCCCAAACACGACTAATGGGACTGGCATATTGACCGCCCCATTGGGGTGGGGGTGCTTGAAGTCGGGGTCAATAGTTCTGCATATTGCTAGTCCCAGTCCCAGCTCGTGTCTGGGAGATGAACCCATCTATCTTTGCCTCACTCGGAGACTGTCGAAGGCGATCCTCTGCTCCGGAGACTGTCGATCCAGCTTCATCTTGGTGGATGGCTGTTTGGACCTCTTGGCCACCGCCGCAGACGAGGCGGAACCGCTCCGTGGACCCGTTGTCCGTTGATGCACCGTCGGTTTTCTCGTGTGTTCTTTGGCATTGTATGTCTTAAGACCTGGGTTGGCCTCTTGATTTGGCCTCTGTTATTCTCACTTAGCTATTTGAAAAATAACCAGAGCTATTTCATCCACAGAGCCATTTCAGAATTAACTTATGTCGTTTATAGTTGTTTTATTTTTTGTTTGTTCAATATGTGTATTGGTTTTGTTGTTGCTGTTGCTATATATTCTACAGCTATACCAGTATATTCTGTTATGTGTTTGCTTTCTTTGCGAAGTTCACAGGTTTGGGTGATTAAGAGATCAGATGGTAGTTGGGAGGCCAGTCATTTCCTACAGCCAATAGACCCCTTCACTGCGAGATCTTCATCCACCACTTGCTATGCATTCTATAGCTTTGTCATTCCACTTCTCCAAGGGTGCCTCATCCGCCTCAGAGGCTACGACCGCCACGAGCAGACTCTCTCATATTCGACTCTCTCAGTAACAGGGTGTTCGACTCTCTCAGAATCACGTCACCGCCCCACCTCATGTTCTCCCAGACACGACTAATGGGACTGCCATATAATATCTGCCGATCAATTGGGGTGGTTGACTGGGGGTTCAATGGATCAGCATATATATGCCCGGCCAGGCCGGTGGCTCCGCCGAGCTCTTGAGTTGGTTGCTGCAACGCCTGGGTGGTGAGGTGCGGCACGGGTGAACGGCCATGCGGCGTGGTGCGGAAGAACATGCTGGTTGACACCCAAGCTGTTCAGGGTTGAGTGCATGGGCAAAGCTATTTAGGTTGTAGACCACAGTACGACACTGGGTTTAAGAAAGGCTCCTAGTGTGTTCACTTTCACTTGGAACCAGGCATCCATGGTCCTGGTGGCAGTGAGCCTGAAGGGGTCTTAAACCCCGTTAGTACGCAGAGTGTGTGCCATGCTGTTGCCCTTCATCCGCTCATCATGTTATCCAACATCTACAACCCAAAGGATCCAGCTCTACAAAACCCTAGGCTTACTGGCACCCGTTATTTTCATAGGCTTGACCGAAGCAACTAAGGATTTTACACCACAAAACCAGGTCAAACATGTTCTCAATGGTCTTGGAAGTCTGGGGAAAGTGAGTGTTCATATTAAGTTTAGTAAGTTTAGTAAGTCACAGGAAGCCGGGGCGCCGAACCAACGGAGGAAGTCAGAGTGCCCCTGTCACGTCACATTCACGGCCCCTGGATGGGACTAAAAACCACCCCTTTGTGGCTCCTAGTTAAGAGTAAATAGTTGACTTCAACCAATTGGTCGTTGGGGGGTGCCATTTCGGCAATCACACCATTTCTGCACAGGTTGGCTCTATTCCACCAAGTCATGGTTTCCATTTCCACACATTCGCCTGCGAAAGGCAATCGTTTCTTCGTTGGATGATTCAGGTTGTTAGTTTCCTCAGGGCAAAGCACCAGGTCTTCAATTGGAAACCCACTTTGTGCAACGACCCAACATTCAGCGCACTTACAATGTCATATATGTTTGTACATGTCCTATACAGCGACAACCGTGTTTCTTTTTCAGAAGGATGAACATCTGGTGTATCTATACCTAGACCTAGATCATCCTATGGATCTTCCAAGTGTGCAACATGTATGCCTTTTCATCTATATAAAACCAGCCCAAAGATAACAGACATATCCCAGACACTCCATGTCTGTCATGCCGATCAAGCCAGACCCGGCACCACCCCAATGGGGCGGTCAATATACCATACCCTAGGGATCCAAGTAGCTTCTCAGGTACGGTGATGTGTTCGACACTGTTATGTAGGTGCCAGGAGGGTCCAGTCGTACCGAACCTGAGGAGAAGGTACGACTGGATCCCTCGGGATACATGAAGTCGCTGGGTCGAACGACGTCGCGAGGCGAAGGCTCTGCGGGACCGCGCGGCGCGCCAGCGGGCGGCAAGCCTGCTGTGGCGCTTGTGGCCTGGCAAGGTGTGAAGGAATCGAATCACAGCGATGGGAAGGATAGGGGGATGGAGTCCTGCTGGGGAAGGTTTGAGGGTTTGATTTGTTGTTCGGATGCCCCCAGTTGAACCGGAGTTCTCAGGGGTTGATGTGTTTGATTGTTTTGGTGTTGAATCACCAAGTGGAGACAGATAGAGAAAGGATATGTTAAGCTAATTTAAAAGCAATAGACCATATATATATATAGATGCACTTGTTGGAATTATTGGCAGTTACTAGTCTTGCGACGACAGTGATAGCTGGATCCACTGGGAAGTGCTAGGAAGCAGTAAAGCTCCAACCAGCTTGGACTGTCATCGCAACAGACTGATCCCAGGATTGCCGTCGCTGAACGGACGCTCCACCCACCTACTTCACCCCCAACACCTCGTTGGTGTGGCGATGCATCGAATGAATTCGTTCGGACGTTTTGTGTCGGGGGGGAAAACGAATCTCAAAGCTCATCTGGACATGAAGCAGTCGGTGGTTTCGCAGCAGTTTTCATCTCAGATGTGAAAAAGTGCTGAGAAGAGTTGCATGCTTGTTCAAGGAAGGGTCGTCGTGGTTGCTCCCAGCCAAAGCTCAAGACTATCCACCATTATAGCTGTCCGGGGACCGACATGAGACATCATGCCAGGATAGGTGGCAAGCATCACCTCATGGCCTGGCATGTGGCCCAATCACTGTTGTTTGGTTTGCCTTAGAATGATCAGAAAGCCACTTGAGTCGAACAAAAAAGAAAACGGTCATATGTATGAAGTAAGGTTCAGGTTCCCAGAGGTTCAGAAATCGCTTGGCCACCTCAAGTCTTCAGCTTGAGGGAGGACCACCAGTAGCTGCTTGTGCGTTGCTCCGAGGGAGAGCCGCCATGGGCTCCGTCCTAAGGTTGCCCGATGAGCCGTCGAAGGTGGGAGGAGACAAGACCGACCGACCGAGGTCTGGGAGGTCTGGAGGTCTGACAGGCCACCGAGTGAAGCCGGTGAATTCGGAGTGAGAAAACAACTCACTCAATCAAGATCTAACCCAAGACTCACCGGGCATCAACAGCCTTTCTGAAGAGTTAGGGAAGGGAATAGATCTTACAACTCAGATTTGTCCAGGGTGTGGACAGAAATCAAGGTCGACCCTCTATTTGGCCCTGGAATTGCAATACACAACTTTTGCGACTGCCACAGAAAGACTTATGCAACTTATATGTACATTCAGCCCAGGACAGTTTATGATTAGCAGCGGATCTACAGTATAAGCAGTTTGTTTGCGTATTTGCAGCAAAGGAATTGCACTACATTGTGCCACACATCGCCTACAAACTTACATGGCATGTTCCAAACCGATCGTTTCAGAAGTTTGTCCGGTGTTCATGGCTCAAATCATGTTGATTCAAAACATCCTCCAGCAGTTCCAAAGGATTTTCCAAGTGCGTGGATAAGGGTAGGGTACCCCTAATCCTCCATGGATCGCGCCCCTTTGGAACTGCTGGCCTGTGTTTTGCTGTTCTCTATGTCAGGAATTTGAATTGCACATCGTGAGGGTTGATCCGATAGGATCCACAGGTGGTACCTGGTCCCAGACACTTCATGTATGGCCACATATATTCCCTACATGGGGTTGGCTTAGGGTCAAAGTAGGTCAATCGTTCATACACAGTCCAACCGGTCCCTCAAAAAGGATTGGTTCGACCCCGGTCGACCCGAGATCCTCGGGTCCGACCGATTTGAAGGTCCGACCGGGTCGCGTCGTACCTGGACGTGTGTTCACATGAAGATTGAAAGATGACAGTTCACTTGGGATGACGTGTGTTTCACCACCATATGCTCCTCCACATGGGTGGTGGGCTCAAGATGCGAAGGGGGAGGTAGGCACCGCAATGGGAGGTACGGGTGCCCTCGCGTTGTTGTGGGTCGCTCGAATCTTGGAAGCTGGGTTCAAACACTACCCCCGATACCCAGATCTTCCGTTGCCTACCTGTTCGTCGAACCATACCTGTTGGTGTCAGTGTGACTGTCAGTGTGAGGGAACAGACAAGGCCCTACCAGGTGTTCTAGTTGGCTTTGCTCTGGGGCTTCTCGCCTTGACCTGCTGGCAGTGCATTTGGACCAGCCGCTCTTCGACTCATGAACCTTTCCAAAGCCCGAGACGACGTGGAGGAGGTGTTGTCACGATGCCTGCCAGGGCAGACCGTGCTTGCTTGGTACTCTGATGATGATGTTTTCCATGAACGACTCTTGGTTTGGAGGGTAGATGACAAGACTTGGTATGTTTTGACCCCCGATGGAGACTGCTATGCTGAGGACTACTCCGGTGATTCTGACAATGGCCCTTTGACTTTTCAGGTGAAAGGGGTAGATTTCCAGTTCTTCTCCAGGGTTCGCAGACCGGTTTACAGATTTAGGGAATACCCCACCGACTCCGAGTTCAAGCAGCATGTTGAGACTGCCTTGAGAGACTTGGGGCTGCTTGGAAGGACTGACCTGGGTTGGCAACCACGACATGCCATGAACATGAATGGGGACAAGGTGGAGGCAACCGAATACTTGGGACGTTTGTTGGTCCCAAGAAGGGTTCGAGGCAGGGACCAAGGCCACTTACAGCTGCCAGTTGAACAAGAGGAGTCGCAACGAGGCCGTGGACCTCAGAGGGCTGATGCAGCCCCAGCTGGAAAGGTTTGGTTAGCCATGCACTCAACTCCGGACTTTCAGTTGGGCGCTGAGGTTGTTGATAGTCTTGCGCAGTCGGTATTGCTCAGTCCAAATACTTGCGCAGTGGAAGGCCCTAAGGGCTGGACTTTGTGCAAGCTAGTGAAGGTCGCTGAATCCCCCGACTTTGTGTCAGAGCTCCGCGAGAAGAACCGTGCCTCTCTCAAGGAAGACATTGGGCCAGTTGCTGGAGAGCCGGATCAGAAGCCGGCAGCTCCTGGAGATGAGGTGCAGGAAGCAGAAGATGCCCGAACGCTTGCTGTGGAATACGATGACCAAGGTGAGCGCTTCAAGCTGTGGCGCGATGTGTGCAGAGAGTGTCGAGAATATGCTTACCCAGACTGGCCTCACGAAGGCCCCCAGAGCGTGCTGCATCTGATAAAACACATGCACAAGCATGGGGGCTCTCCAAAGCTATGGCTTCAATCCTGGGCGCGCTTCAAGGGTATACAAGAGAATGATCGTGTGATGCATGAAATGCGAGCGCTTATGGAAGTCCTCGAACATGGGGGCTGCTACGACCAGCTCAACCTGACCAGCCTTGCCAGCATGGAATCAGTAGGTCGGCGCGTCCAGAGCATAGTGGACGCCTACAACAGCGGCTCATCCACTTCCCCAGACTGGGGGGCAGCAAAGATCATCTCGGGCTACGCTGGCCCTGAAGATGTGGTGATGCCATCACTTCGATCGTGGGCTGCCCGGAAAGGCAAAGAGGAGGTGGAACTGGCCGCAGCAAGGACCAAAATCCGTGAGTACAAGAAGTTGGCTGTCCCAATGGATGAGGCCGCAGGAGCTGTAGCAGATGGAAGCATGGCAGCCGGTGGAGCTGGCTTGGCGCCAAAACGAAAGGCAAAAGCCAAGCCCCTCGCTCCACCGGCCTCCTCATGAGCGCAAGGAAAGGTGGTTGGCTGTCCTCCCAGGCCGATCACCTTGAGCTCGCAGCATTGGGAGGTGGCAGGCCGGAACATTCGAAGAGAGCTCGTGATCTTTTTCCACTGCCTGAGTTGCCGAGATTGACACGTGATGTGAAGCTATCTCGGAGGTCAGCCCAGCGATGGGATCGCAAGATTCGAGTTCGTGAGACCACCAATGAGGCCATCCGAGGCCTCAACTGGCTTGCTGGAAAGAGTGATTTTTTGCATGGTACAGATGGGGCGCCTGATTCACTACAACAAGAGGTGCTTCAACGAATTCAAATTTTGGCAAACATGACCAATGACATCGGGAGCTTTGACAAAATCCCGAGCCCTGAGGCAGCCCTTGCGGAGCTGCTCAAGGGGCGTTCTGACTATCAGCAGTCAGCCGCTCCTATTGCTCTCGCGCCTTACAGCCTCGAGCGTGTCTCGCTGCCAGAGAGTTTGCATGGGTTACCCGATGCAGTGGACCTCTTGCCGCCAGACGCCCGTCGATATTTGGAAGGTAAAGAGCTTATGCTTAGGGATGACCAGCCGGATGAGACCCCCCCTCCGTACTGGGATCCTGTTTTGGCCAGGAGCAAACGACATTACAAGGAGTTTATTAGGAAGCTCGACAGCATCGGGCTCCTGCAGTACACACAGTCTCCTAAGAACCAGGTAGGCCTGTTTTTTGTCCACAAAAGCGATGGGAAACGAATACGTCTTATTATTGACGCCAGGTCCACCAATGTGATGTTTAAGGAACCTCCAGGAGTTGAATTGTGCTCGAGCGAAGGATTCAGCCGCATTGAGTGTGAGCTGTCGCCATCCGCTCTCCCAGGAACAGACGACTTCGTGGCAGAGCTCGCAAGCCTGAACATTCACATTGTGCTGAGCGATGTGAAGGACTGCTTCCATAGACTGCGGCAACCGAAGTGGTTAGCAGAGTATTTTTGTCTCAAGCCTATCCGGGCTTCTTGGGTGGGCTTGCAAGGACAGAATTTGGATGGGAAGAAGCTGAAAGCCAATGACATCGTTTACCCTATGCCAGGTTCATTGTGTATGGGGTTCAGTTGGTCTTTGTTTTTTAGCCAGAAGATCAATGAGTTCCAATGCAGCCTTACAAAAACTTTGGCATGCTCCACCCTCATCCAAGACAAAGGAGAACCAGTTGTTTTCAAAAGTGAGGCTTGCAGGGGCTCTGACAGTCAAGGTATTCGGCATTACGTGTATGTGGATAATTTGGGTGTCCTTTCCCCTCATCAAGCAGTTGTCTCGACAGCTCTGGAGGAATTAGATGGGCACTTTGGCTCCACTGGACTACTTCTTCATCCTGGGGAAGTGAGCTGTGGTGGAACCAAGGCGCTTGGGACAGTGCTAAATGGGAAAACTCTCTGTTCACATGTTAGTCCTGAAAGGTTTCATCGAGTTCGACAGTCCATCCGGGGTTTGTTGCGGCGAAAGAAGTTTTCGGGACAGACTCTTGAGATTGTGACCGGGCATGCAACTTTTTGTGGGCTAAACAATAGGATGCTGTTGGCAGTTTTTCACAACACTTACAAATTTATCCGGCGGCATTACTACGAAGCAGCCGTGGCCTGGGATTCTGTGATTGAAGAGTTGCAGGCCTTTGCTGGACTGATGATTTTCTTGAGATCTGATTGGTGGAGGCCCTGGAACGAACTTGTTTGTTGCAGTGATGCTAGCACTACAGGTTTTGGGGTCTGTACATCTTTTTGGAAGAAGTCTGAGGTAGCAGCTGTCGGTCGTGTTAAAGAAAGGTCAAGGTTCCGTAGAACTCAAAACCATTCTGCCCGAGAATCTTCACTCACATCCGCTGGCTTTGTCAGAGACGAGCTGACGGGTCAGTGGAAAGCAGGGGAGATTGAATCAGATGATTTTTTGAGCTTGAGTGGATGGGCACTTGTCGATGACTTCCCAGAGGTCCCTGCTCGTTTTTTGCGCAAGGACCAATGGACACCAGTTCGCTGGGGAAAGTGGAAGCACAAGGAAGATATCCTGACACTTGAGGCGAGGGCAGCGGTCATGGCGTTGAAGCGTGTCGCAATGAGTGTTTTTGGGGGCAACGTGCGTCAACTCTTTTTGCTGGACAACATGTCACTTGTTTTGGCTTTAGAGAGAAGCCGGAGCCGTCGATACACATTGTTGAAGCAAGTTAGGATTTTCAACGCTTATTGTATCAGTCGTGGTATTCAACCTAGTTTTAGATGGGTGCCAAGCGAGCTGAACAACGCCGATGAACCTTCAAGATATGATACGGATGAACCTTCAAAACTCCTCACCGACCTTATCCACGATGGCTCCGAAGCGCACTCGGCACCTGGCCATCCCCTCCGACAAGAAGAACCCGAGCACTGCAAAGAGAATCCGGGTCCTGGAGCCAGGACAAGAGACGGGGAAGACTGGAACTTCAAGGGCGACTTGCCACTTGAAACCAATGAGCAGCGAAGCCAGCTTCACCGCCCATGTCGAAATTCCAGTGGCCAAGAGACTCGAGCAAGAGGTGGTCAAGGAGGGGGAAGACCAATTGAACGAGGACGAAAGCTTCAGCTCAGACAGCAGCTCAGATGTGATCCGCCCGACCGACAAAAGGAAGAGACTCCTTCACTCCCGAGCCAAACATCGCAGGAGGAAGTATGTCGACTATTTGCTGGAAGGAAAGGACATGAATCACTTGAGTCTGTTGGAGCGAAAGGCCATCGGAATGGCCACAGAGAAGATCTACCAGAGCGAGTACGCTCGTTTCATGAGCTTTGCAAAACCCAGGTTCCTCAACCTCGACAACTCGGACCAGGTGGATCAAGCGCTTGTCGACTACATGAACCACCAGTTCCTAAATGGGCACCAAGCCTTCGTTGGGGACAGGCTGATTGCCAGTTGGATCCATCACCACCCTCAGTATGGACGAGCTGGATCTCGCCGCATGCCGCGGGCGTTACGGGCTCTCAAAGGGTGGCGCAAGCTGTGCCCAGGGCGCAGTCGCACTCCATACCCTTCAGCAGTGTGGTGTGGGATGGCAGTGACGCTGAAGCAGATGGGATATCCTCTCATGTCGGTGTTCCTGATGATTTGCCTCTCTACCTATACTGCCGCCCTTCTCAGCTGTTTTCCCTCCAGGCATTTGGTCTTGTCCCGCCAGCAACTGGTGTGACGGGCTCATGGAGCGTGCTTCTCAATGCAGAGGAACATGGGGTGCCTTCAAAGACGGGGGAGTTCGATGTCTCGATCTCCCTGAACAGCCCCTACCTGAAGGGATGGGGCCCTACAGCTTTCAAAGCGCTCAAGAAAGGCCAACCAAGCAGAAGCCTGTGGAACTTCGACTATGGCCAATACTTGGCGGCATTCAAGAAGGCCTCGGGCCAAATGGGGTTGGCTCTTCAGCCATACCATACCAGACACAGCGGTCCGAGCATCGACCGCAGTCGAGACTGGAGGTCCCCCCTAGAGGTTCAGAAGCGAGGTCAGTGGAAGACAGCAAAATCCGTGGCCCGCTACGAGAAGTCAGCCAGACTTGCCAAGACATGGGAGCTAGTCCCAAGAGCGACCAAGGACTTTTGCCTTCAGTGCGAGGCTCACTTCGGGGACGTCGTGAGCGGCCGCAGAAAGCCGCCAAACTTTGCTTTCCTCAGAGATCTGGCAAAGGGCAATACGTAGCGGATCTTTTCTCGGGCAAAGGTGGCGTTGCAGCTGCGTGCGAAAAGCTAGGTTTTGTCGCGCGCCAATGGGACATCAAGTATGGCCACCAGTGTGATTTGACCAACCGCAAAGTTCTCCGGGCCTTGCACCTTGATGTCAAAAATGGCAAAGTGCTGGCCGTGATGATGGCACCGCCTTGTGACAGTTTTTCAGTTGCACGGGACCGCACCAAAGTGATCCGCACATGTTCACAGCCTTGGGGTGTTTCTCGAGCACTTTTGACACCAGCAGAGCAACAAAAGATAGCCATCGGAAACGCTTGCTTTAGAAGTTGCGCAGCACTCATACGTGTACTTGATGCCTACAGTATTCCTTGGGTGCTTGAAAACCCCTCCAGTTCCAAGTGTTGGAATCTTCCTTTTTTGCAGAGGTTGGTCCAGTCAGAGCATACATGTTTGCTGACCACCGACTTTTGTGCTTATGGAACTATTTGGAGAAAGCGAACCAACATTTTAGCAGGCAATATTCCCCTTGATGATCTCCATCGCGTTGACCATCGGTGTTCTGGGCGCAGGTGTTGCGAGTTTACACACAAACCACATTTTCATCTTACAGGCAAAGGGCCGGGGGGAGAAAACTGGACAGCTATAGCGCAGCCATACCCTCCAAAACTTTGCTCGGGTCTTGCATATGCTCTGACTGCTCGCTGGCATTACAATACCATTTCATATTGAACAATCCTGGACAACATTTTCTTGCATTCATGATTTGGGGCAAATGATTTTGGATGTCTGGGAGTTTCATGAAACTTTTGAATGTCGAGCGTGGCCA